CCCCAGCATGATGTCAGTGGAAGGCGCGGGCGTTGCCTCGAGTTGTGACCGGTCGAGCCCTAGGAGCTCCAAAGGTTGGCGTCACAGGATGTTGAGGCTGCCGCCTCCGCCCATCATCAACACCTTGGTGAGTCGGGTGTTCCCGATGATCGGGTCAACGACGAGCGGGTATCGGCCGGGTTTGGGACATGATCGGGTGGTCATCCCGATCGAAGGTGATCACCTCCCGAGACCACTCGAGGTACCAGGGAGTGGCCACCTTAACCGAGAAGACCTCTCGGTGTTCCCTTTTTCGCTGTCGCGCCATGAGGCACGTCGAGGGCCCACCGAAGATCATGAAGGCATTATGTACCTCGGGGAACCCGTCGCCCTTGTCGTTGTCTCCGTTGTCCTGTCCCCTCTTCTTGGCATCGTCGTTGGGGAGCCCGAGCTTGGCGTAGTATCACCGGAGCATGGTGCACTCCTCGAGGGTGTGCTTTACCGGGCCTTGATTGTATGGGCAGGGTCTTTTAAGCATGTTGTTGAAGAGCCCTGGGCCTCGGGGATTCTTGCGGTCTGCGGCCGCGACGAGCCCGGCCTCGAGAACCTCCTGTTTCCCCTGGCGTCCCTTCTTTTTTTGGGGAGGGGCGAGACGTCGAGGCCCCGGGGGTCTCCTCCCTCCTCTTCCCCTTGGAGTCGTTGTTGGGGAAGATGGCCCCAACGGCCTCTTCGCCAGAGGCGAAGCTGGTGGCGATGTCGAGGAGTGCGGATGCCGTGGTCGGTACGCTCTGGCCTAATTCTCGGATCAAGTCTCGACAGGTGGTGCCGGAGAGGAATGCCTGGACGATTTCTGAGTCGCCGATGCTGGGCAACTCGGTGCATTGCTTAGAGAAACGTCGGATGAAGTCTCGGAGAGACTCGTCCGGTCTCTGGCGGCAGCTCTTGAGGTCCTAGGAGTTCTTGGGGCACGTGTAGGTGCCCTGGAAATTCCCGACAAAGACCTTTACCAAGTCGCGCCAGTCGTGGATTTGCATAGGGGGAAGGTGTTCGAGCCAAGCTCGCGCTGAGTCTGACAGGAATAGGGGGAGGTTGCGGATGACGAGCAGGTCATCGTCCGCACCGCCTGGCTGACAAGCCAGACGGTAGTCGGCCAACCATAGCTCGGGGTTGGTCTCGCCGCTGTACTTTGAGAGATTCGCTGGCTAATGAAACCGGGCCGAGAAGCGGGCGCTGCAGACGGCCTTACTGAAAACTCTAGGGCTAGGCGGCCCGGGAGAAGGACTGCGGTCCTCCCCATCATCATCATAGCGACCGCCTCGGTGCACTCGGTAGCCCCGGGCGGCCCCATCGTCGGTTCGTGGCGCCGCTGCCCGCCGCCCATGTGGTGGCCGCTTTTGGCGCCTCGCTGGTCGTCGAGGCGGCGTCGTGGCACCGAGGCGGCCCCGAGCGCTGCGTGGCACCGAGGGGGCCCGAGGCGGTCGTGGCACCGAGGGCTGCTTTCGAGGCGCCCCCGCTGGTCGTCGAAACGCGGAGCTTTCGCCTTCCGCACCGCTGCAATCTCGAGAAGGCCCCGAGTTCACCGTGGACTCGCCGCCCCTCCATGGTAGAGGGCTCGCATCGCCGGACCAAGATATTGCCGCCGCAGCGACGCTTACGCTAGCGCGATTGAAGACAGGGGTTGCTCGCCCCTTCATCATCGCACGCGGCGGTTGACGCCGTGAGCCCCCACCCGCCGTTCCGCCATCGCCGCCCCCTTGCTCTTGCTCGAGGGTGGCTCGGAGTTGCTTTGAGGAGTCGATCTTGCTCGACCTTGGCTTGAAGCTCACGGAGCCGCTCTAGGTCTATGCGCGCCGGTTGCTCGGGGTGGGGATACATGCCGCTTGGCGGGCGGGACCCCGTGCGCGGTGGTGTGGCGCTATCGCCCTACCTCCATCGTTGCCCGTGCTCAGCATTCCGAGTCTGACGTGGAAACACTCACGAGTCGGGTCGTAAGCGTCCTCGCCGTTGGAATCGGAATGGCCGAAGCAGTAGTCGCTTGCGATCATGAAGTGGTGCATCACCTCAGGGTCGCGAATCCCGGAGAAGTATGCTCCAACCCACGCCTCGTCCTCCTCCGAGGAGTCAGAGTGGGGGTGGATTGGAGTTGTGACTATGGGGTTATGGGCATGACGTTGATGAATGGAGATGAGGGCGGTGGCGTAGGAGGCAACGACATTGGTCAGCCCGAAAGGGTATGGGGATGGCGCCGTCGCCATGCTCTGCTCCGTCAGGGCTGGCTCCTCAGGAGGAGGCGGGACAGAGCTTGATGATGGGGTGTCGCTGTGCGCCACCGGCCCTTTTCCCCTGTCGAGGCTTAAGCCGGACAGGTCCCCGTGCAGGGACTCTGTGCCAGCAGCGGGGTATGGGATTCCGGTGGAGCACAGATCGGCGTTCTGTACTTGCGTGGTGTTAGGGTGGACTCGCCCGCGCGGCGCTCGGCGAGCTTGACGGGAGCAGCGGCCCAGGCGCCGTCCGCGCGTGGGCTGCCGGTGCAAGATGTCGTCGTCGGTTGATGGCGCTCTGGGTGAGAGGAGTACCATGTCGTACTCGTGCCCTAGAGACATGAATTCTAGGCTCCCGAACCAGACGATCGTCCCGAGACGCAACGATCGCACGGGATCTGCCATCCGGAATCTGGTGGGATGACTAAGCTGACACGTAGAGGCCCCTACCTGGCGCGCCAACTGTCGGTGTTTCGGAACCGGGGGTCCTTAACCGACTAGTGAATTTGTGCTGCGTGCTCCCAATTCCGGATGGAGATGCAAAGAGACACAAGGTTTATACTGGTTCAGGCAATGGATGCCCTACGTCCAGTCTGAGAAGGTGTTCTTTTATTCCTTGCACCGGGGTGCTCGTAGTAGGGGGTTACAAGCTAGGCGAGAGAGGGAGTTCATCCCAGATCTCTGTGAGGGGAGGTGATATGAAATTACAGAACGAGGCGTGTTGTTCGTGCGAGTATCTGTGATTCTCTCCGTCGTCGTGGAAACGGTCCTGGCTGCCTCCTTTTATAGCCGCAGGGAGGAAACCAGGAGTACATAAGAGAGCTACACGTGGAGCAAGGACTATTCGATGACGATTTACTCTCGAGCAAAGATGGCGTTGTCGTGGGAGTTCCCAGTGAGATGTCTAATCGGTATGGTCTTCATCGCAAGTAACATGCTGCGCGCATTTATTGACTTGGTGGATTGCGGAGGCTCGGCGCCCTCGTAGCTGGCCGGTCGTGCCGAGCTGTCGTCTTAGGCTCGCTGTCCGAGGCTCGCCGTGCTCGAGGCCCGAGAAGTGACCCAGTGCGTATGCGGGTCTCAGGCGCCCATCGCGGAATAGTGCGAGACGTGAGCCTGCAGGATACGATACACCGTGTTGTCGATGGGGATGGTAAAAAGGTGATCGATCGTTGTCCTGTCGCTCTGCTGCAAAACAAGACCGCCGATCGTGGCTTACATAGTGGGTGCGGCCGAGCGCATTAATCGGATGTGACAGCCTGCCAGAGAGACTTTTGAGGCGGATGCGACGAGGTTGTGGGACGAGCCCGGCCTCGGGCGAGGCGGAGCGCGGCCGATTCGTCCGAGGCCCTTCCGAGGGGGTCTCGGGCGAGGCGTAGTAAGATCAGTGAATCCGAGGCCTTGTCGAGGGGGCTCGGGCGAGACGGAGTGGTCGGTCCGCTGATTCCGAGGCTACAGGAACCCGTTCTGACTCCCCACGTTGCGATGTCCTTGGTGCAGGAGTTAGGCAACACAGTGGTCGGTAACCCCTGCTCTGTGCCGTCTCAGATGGCAGGGGGTTGATGCGACCGGCGTGTAGCCGGTCACTTCGCCGTTCTGTGCCATCGTGCGTCTGTCGGAGTGGTTGGGCGCCTGGATGTGACGTTCGGTCAGAGCAGTTTGGTCAAAAAGGCGGTTACGGGGTTGGTGCCGAGCCGGCCTCGCGCGAATCGGAGAATCGGCACTTCTTCCGAGGCCCCGGGCGAGGGGGCCTCGACGTGGGGGCCTCGGTGAGGCGGTCTCGGGCGAGTCGGAGAACCGTTTGCTTCCGCTGGGGCTCGGCGACGGGGTCTCGGGCGAATCGGAGATTTCGGCCGAGACCTCGTTTGTTTATTCCGTTGGTTCTGTTTTTAGGGTCTAAGCAGTTTTTCGATCTTTGCTTGGGGTACCCATTTTCTGGTATCCGACAATTTGTATCTCCAAATAAGTTTATTATGAAAATAGTTTCAATGATCTATCTAATGATGCTAATTATGTATTATAAATATTCAAAAAATATTTTCTTGTATATATGTATTCAAAGTTAAGTACATTTGATAACAAAAAATAATGGCGAGAGATAGTACCATAAAGGTATCCAAAACAACAAGGAGGTGAGCATAGTGGAGCTGTGTAGGATCCAAGACAAACGAAAGTTTGTTCTACGATAAATCCAATGACATTTATTTGGTACTTATCATAAATATTTTTGATTTTATTTTTCTTTAAAAAAGTCAATCTTGAGATAGTTGCTAGAATAACAATTCTTTTTGGACATATTTTTATTAAGAATTTAAGATAGTTCATGATCAAGCATGTTCCCAATTAAAACACCATTACTTTAAAATATGCCGGTGCTGGTATTATTAGCATGCGTTGCGAATTGTGAAATCTAACTGTGTGATAGTAAAGGCATGTGAAATTGGAATGCCTAGCAGTAACAACCCACTATTGCAAGCCCAATGGATACATATAGGCCCCGTGAACTAGGAGTCTAGGAGCAGGTGAAACATGCTCCTGTCAAACAGGCCCATCCTATTATCATGGAACCGATTAATTAAAGTATGAGGTGAAAGGTGGTAATGTGAGATCAATCATAAGAAACCATATCATTGCACTTGACAGAAGGAACTCTACGCTGTATGTTCACCTACAACATGTATGGCCAAGCATCATTCAGATTCAGCTCTGCCTCCCATGTACATACATACACACACAAAACATCTAGTCCTCTCTTCTCCTCTATGAAAGGTCACTCATATGTACAACACAACTGAGTAGCAAACATGTGGCAATGTGTGATCCTATTCCATGAAGCAGCTCAAGCTGGGCTCTACAGTTCTCCTTGACAAATGCAAAGGTGACCATCCAAACGAGGCACAGGACGACCCAGCCGCCGCAGGACAGCGGCGCTGAGCCTGCGGTGAGCCCCGTCGGGTTGTCGTAGCCGCCATACATGGAGTTGCCCCCGGGGTTGTTGGCGTTGAGCACCGTGGAACCGGAGCCCCCTCCCATGGTGCCCGACATCCCTCCCGCTGGGTTGTAACCGGTGCCCGACATCCCCGGAGTGTAACCGCTGGGCACGCCGCCGCCCGTCGTCCCCGGGCTGTAACCGGCGCCGAAACTGCACGAGTTAGTTGCGACATCGATGCAGTCAGAACACAGTCATGCATGGTGATATGATCATGCTGATGCGTGATGGCAGAATGAGAATTTTGGGATGGATCAGGATCGCTCTTACCCTGCTGATGTCTGGTACATGCAAGTTCCTGAGCCTGCAAAGGTTGGTTGGCAAAAGCCAATGCGAGTGTTCTGTTAGATGAGCAACAGTGCAGCAAGCAGATTCGTGTGTTCCTGGTGGCTTACTTGGGTTGACGTTGACGAGCATACCGGCGCCGCCGAAGTCGCAGCTTGCCGCCGACGGGTTGCGCTGGAAGTAGCTGTTGAAGGCGTAGGAGGCGTGCGCCTGCAGCGTGTTGGGGTTGTAGCAGGTGCCCATGGGCTGGATGGGCGAGCAGTCGGCGCCGCCGATGCCGCACGCGTAGTCGATCGCGTCCTGGAGGGTGGTGTCCATGATCCCCGACTTGGCGACGCACCACGCCTGCCCGGCCACGGTGGGCGCGCCCGGCTGCACCGTGCCGGTGCCGGGCATTGTCGTCGCCGGAGGCTGGTACACCGGCTGCGTTGCCGGCATGCCGCCGCCGACGCCGACGCCGACGCCGCCCTGCTGCGGGTACGGGTACGTGGTCACTGGGTTGGTGACCGGCGACGTTCCCGGGAACTGCGACGGCGTCGTAGCCGGGTTCGTCACCGTCCCCGGCATGGTAGTCGGCGCGGCGACCGGGTTCGTGAAGGGGGATGGCACCGTCACCGGCGGCATCGTCGGCGTCGTCGGCTCCGGGTACAGCGGCGGCAGGTTCGGGTTGGTCGCGAACCCGTTGCCCGGGTTGGTCGACGGCACGGTGACGAATCCCGGGGCCATCGGGTTGGCCACGGGGTTCGTGGCCGGCACGGTCACTGGGTTGCTCACGGGCGTCGTCGCCGGGTTGCTGACCGGCGAGAACTCGTCGTGCGCCGTCGCTCTTGCCTCACCGAGCTCCCGCCGAGGGGAGGACACGTCCACTAGAACACCCAACAACCTCACCCAGCTTGGCCATTGCCACCGCACTTGGAGCCGCACGGCTCTTGATATGGATCACGACACTGGCGCCGGCAACAGAGCGGCAACTTCAGCGACGGCCTCTTCGATCCCCGCGTCCACGGCAAGCTCACTGTCTGCTTCTGCCTCCGTCTCCACCCGAACAAGAACAAACGAACCTGTCCTCCTGACGAATTCTACGACCTTGCCCCACTGCTTCTTGCCGGCACGGGCACGATCCTTGGCGACGATTCGCAGAGAAGACAGCGAGAGCTCCGGCGAGACCTTGACGCTCTCCGCCAATCCAGCGTCGCCGAGAGAAGCCTGAAATGACTGCAAAGTGCGGCGCAGCGCGCCGAGCTGCGTGTCGGTGGCCGTGACGATGATGTTGCTGACATTGAGACGCCGGTTGGGACCAAGAACTTCGTTAACAAATGAGCCGGCGGCGGCGAGAGGCTCCGATCTGCATGGCTTCAAGAAAAGGTAGGCAAGCTGCTTGTCAGTGACCATGACTCTGTACTCAGTGATGACTGAGCTGGATAGTGTCTTGACCTGTGTCGAATCATATGATAGCTCCAAAAATACTCCTGAAATTAAAGAAAAATAAGATATACTTTGTTTCAGGAAGGTAAAAAAAAAATCATCAAGTATATATGCCAACTGCATCAATGGAACAGCATTTTGCTAATCAGTAGCTGCCTAAGTGTGGACAGGTTGATAAAAACTTTATGATAAAGGAAAGATATTTCAGAAACTAAAAATGATACTGACCTGAACAGCAGATTGTTTGAAGGAGGAGGATACAGCAGAAGAAGAATGTGAGAGCAAGAGGGCAGGCAGGTGCCATTGAAGAAGAGAGAGAGAGATCTTTGCAAGCAAGGATGTGGCTGAGCTGAGCAGCCTCTGGCGAGGGGAATGAGCTGGAGATGGCAGTGGGGAAGGAAGGGGTAGGAGAAAGGGGCTATGCAAATTTAAGTACAAGGGGAGCAAAGCTTGTGTGTTCCTGTGTGACACAAAGTGGAAAGCATAAGCGGGTATTTGGTTCTCACCTCCTAAAGTTGAGTCCCCGTCATATCCGATGTTTGACACTAATTTAGAGTATTAAACATAGACTAATTACAAAACTAATTATATAAATCGAGACGAATTTGCGAGACGAATCTATTAAGTCTAATTAGTCCACGATTTGACAATATGGAGCTACAATAAACATGTGCTAATAATGAATTAATTAAGCATAATAGATTCATCTCGCGAATTAGTCATGGCTTATGTAATTAGTTTTATTATTAATATGTAAACACCCGATATGACATCCGATGTAACACCTCCTAAACTTTAGTCCTATATCCCAACAGTCCCTAAGCAAAAGGGGCAAAGCGGCAAAGTGGATAACTATTGTATTAGATATGCAATGCATGCTCCTTTTTTTGAACTTTAGAATAGGGGAGACAGCAAGGAGCGCAGTGCATACATTGCATCCTTTTCCATGCAGAAAAAATGTCCGGAGCCGGAGCACTGCACCAAACTAGGTGCAATTCTTTTTTCCTGTGTGTGTTCGTCACACTGGGAGTTTCTTTTTGTTCAGTTGTAGCATCACTCTGACTCTGTCAGGTTTTCTCTCTGCAAAATAGAGGTGCCAAGGTTGTTTGCATTACATTTTTACTGCCATGCAGTCTCCACTGATGAAAATAAAATACAATGACATTATGTCCTGCTTCCTCATGAGAAATGATTCTGATGGCTCAGATGTCATTTTTTTTTCCTACTCCCTCTGTCCACAAAAGAATACAATTCTCACGACCCGAGAAGTCAAAGAGTTTAAACTTTGACTAAAATTATAGAAAAAGGTACTAAGCCCCATGAGACAAAATATATACCATTAGATTAGTTATAAAATATATTTTTATAATAAATTTATTTGAAGGCATAAACACTAATACTATTTACTATAAACTTGGTTACACTTGAGCCAGTTTGACCCGTACGGTTCTCATAATTGCATTCTTTCCTGGACAGATGGAGTAATTGAGAAGAAAAAAAAAAGCATGTGCATACGAGGCGTTGAGTATGAATTAACTGACTTCATCTGTGACCATTTTTCTTCTCTTTTCGTGCACAAAAATATTTGCTTGATTGGTAAAGCTGCTTTCTCATATGACTGACCTCCTCCATGTATTAGCACCTTGTGTTCAACGTTGAATACTTCCCTGACTTTAATATTGTAGACTCCCTTTTCTGCATGGCCAAGACTTGCTGCAAAACAAGACATGATCACACTGTCACACAAGTTTGACAGAGTTTTGCACAGTGTTTAGACTTGCCTTTTAAGAAAACAACCGTACCATGACCATGAGCACAACTGGGACTGGGACATTGAGCAAGCTTTTGGACCAACTGGGCCACTGCCCACTGGGGCAGTGGGCAGGAAGCATGAGCCTCCGAAACCAAAAAGGTTGCCCTTGGTTGTCGGTAGCTCATGCCATGTGCGTTTCAAAGATCCTTGTCAGGCTCTGGAAGGCTGGAGCCATTTCTTCGTTGGGTAGGGTACCCTAAAGGAAAGGGACCAGGCCGCCTTCATCACAGATTCACAGGCATTCCCCATTCAGCAGCTACAGTGACAGGACCATGCTGAATGGCGTAGCCTTAAACTTGAAGAGTGTCGAGTGAGGCAATGGGAATCTTCACATGTCATCAGATTCAGAGGAATATATTCTGATACTTCCTCGTACCTACTTTGGCTCATTTTAGAATCCGGGATAATTTTTCTTGCTTTCTGTTTTTTTAATAAAAAATGAACTGGTTCCGGCTTAAATTCTTGAATGAAGTTCCTGTGTTAAAATTTACAAAAGGGGGCTTTAAATTCAGCAAGTGTTGCTTGCTCCATCCCAAGGGCTAGAGCTACGCTTTACGCACGCTGGTATCTCCATCTGAAGTTCTGAACACACAGTACATGTAACTACTAGTCTTTATCATGTTTCAAAAGGAAATTACAGATCTTTATCACAGTGGAGAAAATTCTGGGGCAAAAAAAAAGGTTATACATGATTGGCTTAACGCATCGATTTGAGGAGGAAAACTGGCCAGATTGCAGGGGCTTGGCCTGGCTTTTGCTTTGCCTTTGCCTGCACCATCATTGGACAGGGGGAAACGACCGGAAAAGGCAGGTTTTCATCAGGCGCAGGGAGGGGGATCGGTTTTCACAGGCTGCTGGTGTCTGCAATGGATGCGTCATATTCATTCATAGCTTCTTTTCACGGATTTGCCTGTGCCATCTCATACATCACTCTTGACTTGAGCTTTCTTCTTGCTCTTCTTTTCCTACTCCTAATAAAGCTGGGATAAGAGGTGTAGATAGAGATGGATATCCCCTCTTTTAGCCGCAAGTAGCAATGCAATGTCAAGGGTCGAGAGTAAAGAATGTCACCCCAAGTCCAATGGCCACACCAGAGGACAGCACTTGCATTCCATGCATCCAAGGTCACAAATCACAGATCATAATCGAGGACTGCTTTGCTTTTGTAACGGTGAAAAGGCGGTCATTCTCATGCCAAAAAAAAGAGAGAGAAGGCGGTCATTCCTTTTTATTTGTCATCATCGACCAATAAACGTGTTCATGGTTGAACAATACAGCATCCATGATCGAACAAAGCAAATTGATCTCCCGTCCATGTTTGCTAGTTTCTGAGAATAATATTGGCTTGAAAATAAATAAAGGCTAATAACGCACTTTAAAGGAACCGAACGAATCATGTGATGACCAGTATACGCTTTTGTCGCTAGAAATACGTATGCTGGAGAAATTAAAGGCCATGCGGTATGCGTCGCAGCTTTTTGTCAAGCAGACTGTTAAAGATGGATTGGAATTGGAGCAATCGATCATAATTAAATCGATCGTGGGCATCTGCTTTACATATGCAGCTTGTCGCCCTTGGATCCATCTGATATGATTGTGCGTGTACACAAGGCATGGAATACGTACCTGCACACGTACGTACATAAAAAGAAACTGATTCAACTTTAATTTGTTATTGAGCATTATACTTACGATGGTAGTACGGCGGTAAGCATGCAGATCCAAGTAAGCGATGATGGATTGATGGCATTCAAATTTGATGCGATGTACGTGGTTATTATAGATCATGGGCCGGGTATATATTTTATTATATTACACTCTAAATAAAAAAATAACACCAGTTGTTAGTACGTAAAGCAAAGATTTGGTATGGTACACCCACGCCCATGACTGACTTGACGAGTTGACGGTGGTGTGGTCTGACAGTCACGCATCGCAGGCATCATCAGCGAGCAAAACAAAGCTTAGCATGGATCGGCTTGCTTAGCAGCTAAGGCCGAGCGAGGGAGCGCAAGTGTGTGTTTGGCGGGCCATGCCCATGCGTCGATGTGATTATGGATTATAAACAAATTAAAGTTCTGCGGCCCGCGGCCCATGAGGAAATAGCAAAAACGAGCTTCGAACAGGCCAGGCCACACAGTCGGTCTCTCCCTCACAATTGGGCCCGTTAGTTCAGGATCGGAGAGACACATCTCCTCGACTTCTCTGACCATCGTCAGCCTTCTCGTTCGTCTCCATCCAACAATACTCCTGGTCCTAGCAGCTAATCGACGACACCTCCACCGTTCACCGTCCACTCACCAATCAACAGAACCTCGAGAGAGAGAGAGAAAAAAACACATGGATAAAGAGACATATGCTGATATGCCTGTGCGTTACATTATTGTACGTGATGATCGAATGGCATATATCTCTCTCCTCCTCCCTTTTAATCTAATCTGGTACTGGTCCGGCGAAACCGACGTGTCCATGGAAAAGGAAACAAAGGGGCTGCTCCGTCCGTTCGAGCGGTCACGGATCGCGTTCGTGCCATGTGTCGACGAACGACGACAGAGAAAGAAAGAAAGAAAGAAAAAAGGAAAGAAGAAGAACTGGTAGACGAAGACGAGAGACCGCGAACACTCATGCATACATGCACCCGGCCCGTACGTGTTCCTGTTATTCTCCGTCGATCCCCGCCGGTCAGTCGGTCAGAGGCACCGTACGTACAGAGCGATCCATCGCGCAACCACCGTGCACGTACGTACGTGTGCCCACGGATGCTTGTTGCTTGGTCCAGCGGCTGCGGCTCCAACCCGACCAGCCATGCAATGCAACCGGCCGCCGGTCGCCATCGTCCTACAGCCAATCCAGGTTCGGACGCGACGTGCAGTGGAGTATGCACGATGGCTAAGCTTCTTCCGGCCGCAAGATCCTAGCCTAGCTACCTCATCCTACGACTAATGTGTCTATGTTACAGGCCGGGACGACGTACTCCTGAGGCCTCTTTAATTACCGGAGCTCACAGGCAAGTCCTGTCCTGGATGTTGTACATGTTTGCACGCCGTACATAGCTACTGATGGTACGGTACATTTCTTGTTTTCTTTGTCGACACACGCAAACGCACACTGGACAGATCCACTCGATCACCTTCCACTGACTGCTAGCTGCCGCACAACGCTTGTGTTGATTCGTACAGGAGGAAATGTTACCGACAGAGATAGTCGGCTCTAGATAGAGCCTACCCAGGGGACATGCTGGGTGGTCGATCGCAGACGCCGCAGAGAGGAGACCATCACCGGCACGGGAAAATTAATTAATTAATTATCTGTATCGTCACCTTCCACAGTACTGTGACCCTCCGTCCTGCATATACCACAGCCCGCCACGTGGCCAACTCTAGCCCGTAACAATTGCTCCCCCTCTATGCACAAAAGATATAACTGTGGGATTTATGCAAGTAAGACCAGCTTAACTTCGATCGAGTTTCTACTAGCGTTTAACATTTATG